ATACAGTCAAAAAAGTACAACGTTACTGCTTCCATTAGTTTCCACGATCTTCTGAGCAAATTCATCCCAAGCTTAGTGTGCAAATATAGAGCTGAACATACCATAAAACCTCTGGAACTATTTCCTTCAGACAGATGAGACCAAGGTGAAGATGTTCGCCCTTCCATTCTGCACAGTGGCACGTTTGGTGAAAACCAAACACTGTCACGTATCAGCACAAACTCTCATAGAGAGATCAGTCACAGCACAGACTCAACCTGAGTGAAATACTGTGGTGCAACCTGAGCTGTGCATGAATGAAAGCGCAGAAGAAGAGTGGGCCAAAATGACTCCACAGTGATGTGAGAGATAAAAGTCAGAACGCTGCTTCAGGTGGTTTTACAAACTATTGAATGAAGGGGTGCGATTAGCTTTTTACTTCCTGGTTTAAAAATCTCAAATATCTCAGATTACTTTAAATAAAGTTTAAATAAAAAATAAAACATTTTTATTTAGTTTATAGATTATAGGTTTTATTCCAGTTACACTCGCTACAGTTTTCCAAGGAAAAAATATAAAAATGCATTTTAACTCTCATAGCAGCGACCATCTCATATGTACTGCTGATGCACAAAGAACAGACAAACTCTCTTTGCACACACACACACAAACACACACACACACAAACAGAAGCGCCCACTGTGTGTGTGAATCAGACGACTTCCAGAAACGACAGAGGCGCTTTCATACACAGAGCTGTTCCCGGTGTTCACAGATGCACCACATCTGCGTCACAAACCTCCGAGTATCCACGTCCTTCGTCACAGCTTCACAGCAGAGAAATAAAGGCTCAGCAACATAAAGTGAATAGTGTCACTTTAAACACCACAGCTGTGCCATAAATCTCAGAGCTGATATCAGTTGGATTTGTAGGCAATGAAACAGAACCCACTTCAGAAAACAGGGACAATGTGTATGTGTGTGTGTCGATGCCTGGATCGGTGAATTACACCACCTACGACTTCCCACAGATTTTCAACTTCCCTGAAAGTCTCCAATCATACCTCGACCATCTTTTCCTGACCTTTCAACTCTGTGAAAGTCTTACTATCAGACTTTTTTCTACTTCTATTTTCTTTTAAAAGCCATTGTAAGATAATGATGAAAGAAAGAAAGTGTGGCTGAGAAGCAGAGACTTTCTTATATTTAAGGACGTTTTTTTAGACTAATAGTCAAAGTGATATTTAGAGATATCTGTGAATAAGAGCACTGGTAGTATAAAGAATTCCTATATAATTAAATTAAACACATAATATATAATACTGTAAAATGTTACACTTTTGTTACACAAATGCTTATGACCTCTGAGCATCACTGGTGACCTTGTGGTTGGAGAAAGTTAATTAACATAATAATTAACGTCAGACAGTCGAG